AGAGTCACAATACAGCACATTATGCTATAAAAGTTACTGATTATAAAAGTTATAAAAGATGTGATTTCTTCAACACAAGCAATACATTGTCACAACAGCTTCTCAGGGAGAAAAAAATTGATTTTCATCCTATAATGTATCAACACAGACATGGAAATTTATGTAATATGATTTTAGGCTTCATCATAAATCTAATTTTAATAGTGAAATAGTGAAATTAGTGAAGTTTAGTAGTGAGATTTCAGATTTTCTCCATACCTTTACAAGAAAATAATGCTTTTATTGTCTGGTAATAAGAAAAGGTTTTTGTGTGTGAAAAAGACAGGGATGTTTACATAAAACCTGGCATGCTGTTACATGGACACCCAGCCTCCATGCAAGCTTCTTCATGCCACTTTGGCATTAAACTATACCTCTGAAACACAACTCACTCAACTAATTCCATCCTCACAAATTCTCCAATGCACCTCAGTCTTGATCTGTAATGTCTGAGGAACCTGAACCAGAATCCTCTCTGCATCATGAGCTCTAACAATTTGCTAAAGTGTTATTTTCTATAATTAAACAAGGAACTCTGAAGATATGATCACAGACCACTCAGAAATATTTCTATACAGAATCACAGTATGTTGTATAACCATGGGATACCTGCCCCTTCCTCCAAGTTCAATTTCAGAAAGAAAGGAAAAAGAAAACTCAGGGCATGTGGGAAGATTGAAACCCTGGAACATTTTCTTTATACACTTGGGCAAAGCAAAAGGGTTTTTTAAATACAAAACCTCCCACCTTTATATTTTATAACACTTTGATACTGTCCTGCTAGGAAAAATGCAGCCAGCAAAACAGTTTGCTCGCTTAAAAAGCACAAAAGAAGCACCAGGTGGGTTTGCTATTTTCTTCCTGTTTTTCACATTTAGGCATATCAAAAAGCCTAATTAACGATTTTCTCTGGGACAGAAACATCACCCAGATGTGACTCCTCATTCTGCAAAGCAATAAAAAGTAACCCTTCCAGCTGGTGCTCAAGAATGGCACCTCTAAAGGAGAGAATTTCAATCCACAGCCTCTTCAGGAAACAAATTAACCTCCTTAGCATTTTCAGCAAATCCCAACAAATCCTGCACTTTGTAGAGCCTGATTTTCAGGAGTGCTCCATTCCCATCCTGTGGCTAACCCTGGCTTCTGTGTGTGTGTGTGTGATGAGCACTTCCAACACCAGGTTCTTGGTTTACCTGCGAGGTACTCTATGACAGCTGCCATGTACACTGGAGCTCCAACCCCAATCCTGTACTTGTAGGTCCCTTTCTTCAGGTAGCGCATCATCCTCCCCACAGGGAAAATCACCCCAGCCCTGCTCGAGCGGGACAGTTTGGACATTTTCTTCTTCCCACTCCGCCCTGACATCTTGCAGCTTTGTGCTTCTCAATTTGCTGGTGGTTCTCAATGCCTTGCTCCAAATCTGAGGGCTGCAAGAGAAAAACCAGCAGGACTGATGACAAACATCTTCATGCATTGCTGTTTTTCCAGAAGCAAAAAATCCAAACCCACCCTCAATGCCTGTTAAAGTGCAGGAACTATTCATTCAAAGTTAGATAATTGGAATATTTGATATAACTTTGCTTTTGAACTGCACTGCCAGTGTAGCAATATCAGAAGCAAAGAAAACAAACCTTGTTTTCTGCTTATTTTTCTGGCAACCACAAGATTACAGACAAACAGACAACAAACCCTGGAATCTGCCACTCCACTCCAAAGCTTGCTTGTGGTCACAGTTACACCCCTAATTCTCACTCTCATCAAATGATGTTTGGGAAGTTTTAACTCTGTTTAGAAAAATCAGTTTTAACTCTGTTTTGATAGCTGCCCTGGAGGCCTGGTTACTCCTCTGAAGCAAACAAAGAGCAGGTCTGCCACAGATAGTATTTCTGTCAATGAAGGCACAGCTACTTCATTCCCAATACTCATTCACCTCAGGAGAACAAGGAGGTGATGTTCCAAGGTGCCTTCCTCAATGAAACTTGCAATTTGCAACAAACCCTTCATAAACCCTTCAATTTCACAATAATAACAACACTTAAAATGCGCCCTTTTCAGTTTGTGATAACTGACATAAAAAAAAAACCCCAACAAAACTAGGCTGGGAATTCAGTTTCTAGCCATCCGAGGAGCCAATTTCTGGAACAGCCTTCTCTTTAGACCAACAATAAAGCATTTTAAAGTAGAACTCAATAAACATATGCTGTAGGGTACAAACAGATTTCTGCAATGCTGGCAGGGCAGTTCCATCACCCAAGAGTTCAGTCCAGGACTGAAACCCCTACAGAGAACCACGCTGAAAATCAAAATCATATTAAGCTAACCTCTCATATATTTGTTCCTCTAGCATCAAATCCCAACTGAGTAAAAATCAATGGAAAAGACAAATGTCAAGAGATTACATTCACAGAAAATACCATCATTGCACTTGATCTCCGTGACAGAAAATCAAAACATATTTGTATACAACTAACCACACTGCTCTGGGACATGCTGTTGCATTATATAAATATATGTTTAATTACTTACTCCTGGCTCATCCTTCTGTTGCATCACTGAACTTTCCACCCATGCCTACGCCTTCTTTTTCCCTTCTCTCTCACAGCAAGCCTCTGCCATTATTTACTCCCCTGCTGCCAAGCCAGCTTTTGGAATCCCAAAGTATTTTCCAAATGCACTGCAGGTTATGTTCCCAGAATTTTGTGAGAGCCTAAATACAAGATGTTTCAAAACTCTGCTAACACTGTCTCTGCTTTGCTACTTACATGGACCAGGGTGTACTGAGGAGCAACAAATACAACAGCATGCTCTTGTCTTGTTTTGACTCCTAGAGAAGGCAATTTTTGGTAGAAAGCCAAGCTATGGCAGTCACATCAGGACCTGGATGAAGAAACATGCTGAGAAAACTCCTGTGGACCTGGACAAAGAAATCTCACAGACTGGGATGAACTGGTTCCCTTGCAGAAAGAGGCACATAAGCTCAGCCTTGCCACACTCACCTGAATTGTAACCAACATGTAAAGAGCTACAAGTTGAGCACCGCTGTCCTAATTGTTCTCTTCTGATGACAGAGCCAAGCCTCAAGGGCTTATCAGTTGAAAAGTCTACCCACACTCATTCCCTCCCTGCCAGCTGATTCATCATCTCTACATTTCTCCTCTTGAAGTGCAGTGCCTCCATTTAAAAATAGGCCTGTGCCATTCGTGCGAAGTCCATCCTCACTGAGCCACAAGGGCTGTGCCTATATCTGGCTGCCATGACATCAGGCTTGGGCAATTTAAAGCAATTATTTTCCCTCTCCCTTAATTGGCCACAGCACACTCCTACTCTGCCATGACTCCAACATCCCTGTGTTGCTATGGGGGATTGAGAAGCTACCAAAGCTCTCTATAATATGATGGCAAGCTGGGCTTTCCTCTGTTGAGTTTTGCCTTCTTCAGAGCTCAAGGCAACCAGTGATACTTTCCTTCTGCCTCCTGGAAAAACACCTAAGAGATACCTTCCACTATCCCAGGCTGCTCCAAGCCCCCGTCCAACCTGGCCTTGGACACTTCCAGTGAAGGGGCAGCCACAGCTTCCCTGGGCACCCTGTGCCAGGACCTCACCACCTTCACAGGGAAGAATTTAGGGAAGAGTTCCTTCATAGTATGATAGAAATCTCTCATTTTTTAGATTTAAACAGTTCCCCCTCATCCTATCACTACGTGTCCATGTAAAAAGTCCCTCTCCCCCTTTTTCACACACCCCACTCTGGTGCTGAAAAGCTGCAATAAAGTCTCCCCAGAGCCCCAGAGTTCTCCCAGTCTGTGTCCTGAGCAGAGGAGCTCCACGGAGAACTTTGACTTCTAAACATCAGAACTCGAACTTGATACTCAAAGACGAAAATAAAGACTATACACAACTACCAACACACTTGCACTTCCCACATCTCCAGCTAAAGATGCATTAGAACAGTTAGGAGTTATCAAGGAGCCCATAGACAACCCTGGGGCCAACTTAGGCTCATTTACAAAGGAAATATTTGAGAAAAATAACTCAGAAGACCTAAAGCGCTCGTTATCTGAATGAATCACTAAGGCACCAAAGCACAAACTTATGGAGCAGGTGGGGCGTCTCCAGAACCGCACACACAGAGCGCAATCCCAGTGAAAGAAGCTTTCTGAAGTCCCGGGGTTCCCTGCAGAGGTAGCTCCCTCTCACAACCAACAGTGGGCTCACAGGACGGGCCTCGGTACGGACACACCCCGAGCCTCTGGCCCCGCTGAGGGCTGCCGAGGTCGGGAGCACACGGAGCACACCGCGCTCACGGCGGGAGCCCGCCCGGAGCCCCCTCAGGGCCCTCCCGCCGAGCGCCGCCGCCCCGCCCCCGCACGCCTCGCCGTTGCCCGGAAACCGCCGCCCCGCCCACTCCCCCCGCTCATTGGCCGCTGCGGCACCCCGGACAGGGGGAGGAGTGCGCTGATTGGCCGTGAACCGCTTGATTGACAGGAGAGAGGCGGGGGGGGCAGCTGTCGGGCCGCGCAGGCGCCCTGAGGCTCGGCGGAGTGTGTGTGTGTGTGTGTGTGTGTGTGTGTGTGTGTGCCTGTGGAGGTGTGGCCGCCGGCTTTCCCGCGCAAACGCTCCCCCCTCACACCCCTCCCCCCGCCCTCAGCGAGCGCTGCGGCCGCGGAGGCTTCGGCCGCTGCCCAAGGGGCGGCTGTGGCGGCGATCGCGCGGCCCCGGAAAGGGAAACGCTGCGAGGGCCGAGCGGGGAGGCAGCGAGCGAGGAAGAGCCGCCATCCCCCCCCTCCACACGCACTTACCCGGAGCCGACCCCGCGTGCGCCGCCGCCGCCTCGCGCCCCCCCTCCCTTTATGGCCGCCCCTCACCCGCCCCCCTCGCGTCCTTTCCCCTCACGGCCTTGGCCATGGCCGGGCCCTCCCGGAGAACGGCAGCGGCGGCGGGAAGAGGATGAGGAAGAGGAGGAGGAGGAGGAGGAGGAGGTGGGTCGTGCGGGCGGGGAGAGAGGGAAGGAGAGGAGCGGGGCCTGGCCGCGGCCCCCGGAGCCCCCGCGCCGTCGCTCCCCTCACCTGCCGGCGCCCGCCGTCGCTACTGCCGCCGCCTCCTCCTCCTTCTTGTCTTCCCTTCCTCTTTTTCCTCCCCCTCTTTTCCTCCACTCCTTGCCCCCCCTCCCTTTTCCTCCCCACTTTCCCTTTTCGGCTCCCCCCACCCTCGCTCCGCCTCAGCCGCTCTCCCCGTATTGTATGTTTCAATGGCGATGGCGGCTGCTGGTGAGGGGGGTGGCAGGGGTTTCCTCCCGCTCCGCACATACCGCCTCTAGGAGGAGTCACTGCAGCCCGGGCCTGCTACAACCCCCCTCTCTTGGCTGCCGCCCTCCTTGCCCGGGCCCCAGGGCTGCAGTGGGGACAAGAGCCCCCTCCCCACCCAGCAGAGAAAGGGCCCCCCCCCCCGACCCTAGTCCCAAGAGGGCTTGTGGTAGCCGGGAGCATAAAGGCAGAAAGCCTTTCCCATCCTTTCCCAGGGTGGAGGAGTTTGGAGATGGAGAGGTTTCAAGGCAATCTGAGATTGGACTAAAGCTCCAGGAACGCCTGGTTTTTGTTATCGAAAGTCACTCATCCTTTTATTGCTTTGGCGAGGTGACTTGTGTGCCTCGCTATGGTGCCTCTAAACCAAATATTCCAGCATCCCCAAGTCGACTTGGAACGGCCATAACAAAGAGTGCCAGCAGCTCTTTGTGTTGTCCTGCACTGGATTGTTCCAGATGCTCGCAGGCTTTCCATGAGGGCTGCAAACTTCAGTTGCTTTCCAAAAGCAAGCTGAGGGGTTTTCTTTTCTTCCCTGCAGTCACACGGATTCAAGAGCTTGAGCTCCAAGAGACGCAATAAGCGATTGTGTTATGTGTCTTGGCAGCGCCAAATCCGGGAGCCGAGCCCGGTGCAAACAGGAGAGTACAGGGCTACACCTCTCTAACTCATCTCAGGTATATTTTTACATGAAACTGGGTTTATATCATCATTCCTGTACATGGTATTTTGCATCATTGCACTGATTTCGCTATAAAGACATTTGGGGGCTACTGTGATGCTCTAGGAGATAGATTATTAACACAGATCACTCCTGCTCACTTGCAGTGTTACTTTGGGAGGGGACCTGGGAACAGCAGAGAAAGAACTGCTCATGCTTTCAGCATTCTCTTTGTCACTGTAAAAAATCATAAAAGATTCACTGGGGTTTGGTTTTTGGCTCTGCCAAAGTAAGCAATGTTGTGTCTGCATAGAATTGGAATTGGTGGGGAAAAAAAGCAATGGAATATTTCCCCAGGTTATGTTAATTGTGGATTGCACCATCTGAAGAAAGAGGGCATGAGTTCAGTACCTGCATTTTCCTGGACTGCTGTGTGACCTTGGGTAAAGCATTTCACTTTACACAGCTATATTTTGACTGTTGTTAAAATGGAAATAAAGATATCTTTTTTCAAGCATTGAGTAAGAACCTCAATGCATTTCTGTGGATTAATTCTTTGTAGTCTGTTCTCTTTCCCACTTTCTTATGCAAGAAAGGTCAAGATGCTTTGTGATCATAGGAGAAAAATTCCTGTGTATGAGTTTCACTTATTTTACAGACAAGAGGAAGCCTTACGTAGATCTTGCCCACTGAGAGTTGGAATTTAGCAAAGGAAGAAGATACCTATAGTCTTGGCAGTGTATTGAGCCATATTGGGAGGGTAGGAGGAAGCTCAAGATTTTCAAGCACAAAGCATAAAAATGAATGACAGTGTAAAACCCGTGTGAAAAAAAGAAGAAAAGCATTACATTTACATTTTTCTATTTCCAGGTACAAATGACTGCATCCCCTCACAATCATACATGTGGTACATGGCTTTGTAATTAAAAATCTGAAATGAGGCAAAACAAGCATCCCAAATTTTTGAAAAAATTCACAGTTTGTTAGAATTAACATCGAATAGTTGCTGTGTGATAAGAACACTAGCATGTGGGAGGTCTTTCAAGGAAAAATTGAGTCGTTATGTGAGGCAAAATTTCAACATTAGGAGAGCTCACTCTGTTTATAACAACATTTTTCTGTTTATAAACAATGTTCTCCTGAAGGAAACAGGAGTGATGGAGAAGTGTGGGAGAGGTCATGGAAGATTTTCACAGTGTAACACTTTTTAAGTCAGTCATAGATATCTGAATTTTAATACCAATTTTCCTGCTGTTATGATTTTTAATAGCCTCACCATAAACTTGATTTCCCCTCTTTATTTCTCCAGTGGATACCACCTATCCTTAACCTAAATATTAACAGCATTACATGGATATTTTATGTTGTTTCAAATATTTCTGAAAGATTCTGGGTCACTTTGTAAGGCAATAAAGAATTTTTGAGTAGAGCAGATCAGAGCAAGGCAACATTGGAACAATTACCAGGTGTGAATTGTACTGTAGTAATGGCGCTCTTGGAACCAGCTGCTTTTTATAGCAGGTAAGAGACTTTTGATCACAGTAACTGTGTTTCAACCATTTCCATGGAATTGCTCAGGGAAGAACTGTTGCTTACTATTGTTTGTGCCATACTGGAGTGAAGGAGAGCTTTCCCCACTCAGCAGGAGCGGGGCCTGCCCTCTCTAGGCTGTGCAAAGACCATCTGCCTGTTGCCTTCTGAGCGCAAATACAATCTGTTAGTTTGTCAAAATAAACAACGCATCTATGGGATCATTTATAGCCTGTTGCCTGCCTGACTCCCCAGCTATGGGGGAAACAGCCTGTTTATGGCATTCTCATTTTGGGGCACAAGCTGTCATAGCTCAAATATTGTAATGAATATTTCATAGCTCCAGAACCCAGAGATAGGGCTTCACTCTCACTCGGGCTGGCAGGCATTCAGGCTCACCCCGGGCAGGACAGGAATGTCAAGTAGTCCAAAAGCTCTATTTTATGGGTGTACATAATCCAGGAACTTGATCAAATCAGTGTAAGCATTGCCCTCTCATTAAGATAACCAAATACAATCAAATATGTCTATATTATGGTCATAGAGAACAGATGTAACAACAAGTTCTGCAAATAATGTGTATTTCTGTAATGAATTATTTTTCCTATTTTTTGAGCCATTTTTTAACCTTTCTTCCATGTTTCATGTTGCTTATGTGGTTGTTATGCTGGTAGATAGGGTGCAATGGGCTAAAGAAGCCAGAAAAGCTAAATCCTAACTTTTTGGAGAATACTCTTTTAACAGTACTTTCTTAAATTAGACCATCCCACATCCTTCAGAATTTGAAGTCTTTGTGTGTGTCAGATTCTGACATGTTTAATGTAGGCTGATTAGCTGCAGTCACAGGTTAGCTACAGTGTGTAAGCAAGGGGAAAAGGTCTTTCCTGCCCAAACACCAACTGATTCTAAAAGTTTAATGCAGCTTATTAGTTTTAAAAACATCAAAAATACCTTTTCATCCTTTAAAAGGAGGGTTTAATCCTTGTTACTTAAATGCAGCTATGCAGACTGCAGAGATCATTGTCTTAATTATTCCTTAGTAAAAATACTAATTGAATACAAATATCTGAGTAGTTTAATCACAATCAGCATGACGCTATTTTTTGTCTAATGGAGATTTACAACTATATCTGTCAGAATTAAGCAAAAAAGAATAAGGTAACAAACCCCAGAAATTAACATTGTTTTCAGCTGAGGAATGCATTGTAGGATCCCTCTCCACAACTCAAACAGTAGCCAGAAAGGGATAAGGTATAGGAAAGATTGTGGGGATCACGAGTGTAGAATGGCTTCTCCAAAGAATTAGAGCAGGTCAGGACCTCTAGCCAAGGAAACTGAGGAGTGATACGAGAAAGAACTGATGCTTTCGGCTTGTTGCTCTGTGCCTCCCAAGGATTGCAGTTTTTACATTAACTAGTAAAAAACCTAATTGAATTTCTGAGATTGAGGAAAGCTGGATAGATAAAGCCATACATTTGTGAGTGGTGCTTTTGGCCACAAATCAATAGGATAATCAGGCACTGCCCAGTTAAGAGGCAGAAAAGCCTCTATTCCTGTGAACTTCTTGAAGAAAACTATTTGCAACAATGCTTTTACTATAGCACACTTTCTAGTGCAGAAAGTGACACATTCTTTGTCTGGGGACTCTTGATGCAATTATTTGGTTTGGGCATTTGCAAAACTGTATTTCTTTGTCAGAGGAGTAAAGATGAAGCAAAGTGTCATTGCACCTTTTGATCACCGAATCATTCAACTACAGATCCCTCCAGATCTGAAATAGATCACATTTCCTACTTCTCACCGTGTTGCAAAGGGATCTTGTATCTGATTGATTGTTCCTGTGCTAGTAAGGATGTCTGTCCCTTTGCAGTTACACCCTTTGGTGTAGTTTGGAACAGTGATACCCCTTTCCTTTCTCCTCTGACAACACAGACAAGCACACTGTCTCCCTGGATGGGACCATTAAGCTCCAAATTCTTTTCAGAGTAGCTTCACAGGTCAGGTCAGCACAGCACTGCTTGTTTGTCTGCTTTCATAATTGTTCCTGAGTTTGATTTGCAACAATTCACATCATTAGCTGTTTTTTCCTGCTAACTGCAGGGTCCTAAATGAAAATGCCTTGAAACAAGCAAACCTTTGGATCTCACATTTGTCTGAGGCAGGACAGAGCAAAGCTCCAGAACATTATAACTTCATAAAGCAAGAGTGACCTTGAATCCTTAAGGAATTATAAAAGCCAAAGTTTCAAACACATTCTCCATTCCAAGTTGGATCATCAAAACATGTTTGTTTTCCTATGTAACTTTATGTAACAGTCACTGTTAAACATCCAGATCCTTGAGGATTTTGCCTCACACTCCAAGGCTCGTTGTACCCAGAGGAGGTAAGGAGTGAAGCATACTTTTGCTGTCTGGCCACTGAGAGCTAATGGTTTTTCAGCACTTCACTTTCATTCAAAGGAACCACCACTGCATTGGTGACTGGGCTCACACAGAAACACATCCAGGCGGAGGGGAGGGGAGGGGAGGGGAGGGGAGGGGAGAGCTGTGCTTTTAAGCTGAGGGAGGGGAGCGATGGATGGACACCTCATTGTTTCTCTCAGTTCTGAGGAAATGCAACACACAAAGCTGATAATTACAATAATTTTAGCATATGCATAACTGGAGAGAGACAGTCTCTCTCCCCTCTTCCCCCTTGCTCTCTCAGTTCCATAATTAGTGTAGTTTTGTGACTTATGGTTGTTTAATTCATGTTATAAGAGCAAGTTCCAGTAAGGCTGTTCATGCCCTGGGAGGTTTCAGGTTGTCTTTCTTCCGTGCAGATTCCAGTGTACAGTGCTATGGCTCAGCTAATGTTGCTGCCTTTCCCTTAGCACATGCACTAGGTAGGGCTCTGTCCTCTCTCCATCCATCTAATTTTATTGTGATAACAGTCTTTTTGATGTTCCTGACCTGCTAAATCGAAATTTTCCCACCTACTTCCATAGTTTCTGACTGGCAAACAGCAGATGGCGTGGTTGTCTTAGGAACGTAAAGCCTATCGCCGAGCGGGAAGTGAATTCACCTGTAAGTGAATTTATGGGCTGTGATTTGCTTGTAGTGTCATTTACAAAAGACACAAACCATGTGTGGGTAAACAGGCGTTTTTATAAAAGGACAAGAAAGCATGTACATCATAGGGAACAAATGCAGACTGTACTGGAACAGGTATCTATGTGTGTATTTAAATTACAAATTAAAATAGAAACCTCACTAAAACACTGACACAAAGGAATAAAGTTTCAACACAAGGCATGGGGAATTCATCAGGCTCCTCTTGGAAAACAATGGTATGATACTTTATATATGATGTCTTGTTTACCATTAAACCCACCCCCAGCCAGAGACATTTTTCACAATCTCCTGCTGGTTAGCCCACTCTTAGTTACCCAAAAATCCATTCCCCAAACAAACTTCCTCCTAAAATCTCACATCTTTGTTCTCTTAATGTAGTGACTAAGCTAAGGTATTTAAAATAGCAATATACAGCTCTGCATAGCAGTTTTAATCATAATTTAAACTAGCACCTCTGAATAATATTAGTCCTGGCTTCATTATCTGATAAATGGGTACTTGGTGATTAAACATAAAATTCCCATCTTTTACTAGAAAACAGTAATGCTTTGAAGGTGCTATATTTAAGCAACACTTTACTTTTACAAAATTGAGTTTTATTTACTACTGAGGAGTGGATTCAGGGGGTTCTTTAAATGTATGCCTGGTTTCCAGGACAGGAGTGGTTTCACAGGATTAATTAATGGACTCAGGAAATGTGTAACTGAAACTCAGCTTTTGTTCTGACATTAAAATTCCTGAGCTATTCCTCACTCATACAGATGGAAATAATTTATCTGAATCCCTTTCCTTGTACATGTTGACTGTTTAGTCCTTAGTGTCTTTTTAATCTTTTATCACACTGAGAAGAGATTTGCTTAAAAACTTAATAGTGGAAAATATATTTATAAAGAAACCCCAAATAATTACCGTATTTCAACTCTGT